TAGTCCCAGCTACTTGGGAGGCTGAAGCAGAAGAATCGCCTAAGCCCAGGAGTTGGAGGTTGCTGGAGCGACTCCACTGCACCCTACCAAGGGCAAAAAAGTGAGACTCTGTCTCTACAAAAAAACAGAACAAAACAAAACATGTTCACTACCACATCCCCATCAGTAGTCACTCCCAAGCCCTTGGCAACCACAAATCCACTTCCTGTGTTTATGGATCTGCCTGTTTTGGACATTTCATATAATTGAAATCTCACACTGTCTCTTCTCTGTCTGTCTTCACTCACTGAGCACATGTCCTTAAGGTCTATCTATGTTATATAGCTTGTGTCAGAGCATCATTCTTTTTCCTTTTTCTTTTTTCTTTTTTTTGAAACTGAGCCTCAGCTATCACCCTGGGTAGACTGCTATGGCATCACAGCTCACAGCAACCTCCAACTCCTGGGCTTAAGCAATTCTCTTGCCTCAGCTTCCCCAGTAGCTGGGACTACAGGCACTTGCCACAGTGCCTGGCTGTTTTTTGGTTGCAGTTGTCATTGTTGTTTGGCAGGACTGGGCTAGATTAGAACCCGCCAGCTCTGGTGTATGTGGCTGGTGCGTTAGCCACTTGAGCTACAGGCACTGACTGAGCCACATCATTCTTTTTCATGGCTTGGTGGTATTCCCACATGGATCCTCCACACTGTGTTTCTCCATCCCTCCAATGATGGGCATTTAGGCTGTTTCCACCTTTCAGCTGATGACAGTGCTGAACATTCATGTAGAAGTAATCACATGAATGCATGTTTTTGTTGTCTGTTTTCATTTCTCTCGGATAGATACCTAGGAATGGACTTGCTGGGTCACATGGAAACTTCCACTGTTGGAGAAGCTTCCAGACTTTTGCAGGGCAGCTCTATAGATGGGTATCCACATTTCCCTGGGAGAGTAAGTTGCCTACGCTAGCATAGGCTGTCCCCTGGATCTGTTTCCGGTCACCAGCATGGGCACATGCAGGTAGCTTCCCAGGATCGTGGCTCAAGTCTTTACACGAGCTACCTTCACAGCCTCCCTTGACACAGTCACCATGGGGCTGCCCCTTAGGGCTGTTGCTCCAATACCTTCTGTCCTTGGAGTCTTTTTGCAAAATCGTGAACTAATTCTGTTTCTGTAATGCTCTGGACACATGAGCCTACCCCCACCCCCATCCTGTAGGTAATAGCAAGGCTCCCCATGCTGGCTGCTGGGGGCTGGGTTCGGGCATCCAGGGTCTGGGGCCTGGTCCCCCCGGCCACTGTGCTGACCCTTGTGCCATTCGCAGCCCAAGCGGGAAGAAGTTCCGTAGCAAGCCGCAGCTGGCACGCTACCTGGGCGGCTCCATGGACCTGAGCACTTTCGACTTCCGCACGGGCAAGATGCTTATGAGCAAGATGAACAAGAGCCGCCAGCGCGTGCGCTATGACTCCTCCAACCAGGTCAAGGTGAGCTGGGCCACATCATGCTCAGTGATGTCAGTGCACCATGATGACAGCAGGCACTGCCAAATGTATGATCTGTAGGACAGAGGGTGGAGGGCAGGCCATGGCAAGGACAAGGATGGGGCTAGCACAAGCACCGAAGCTTGGGGTCCCAACCTTGGGGTGCAGGAGCATATGGGAGCTGGGGGTGCAGGGGTGTCCCAGGTCCAGCCTACAGCGCCTTGTCCCTGCAGGGCAAGCCTGACCTCAACACAGCGCTGCCTGTGCGGCAGACAGCATCCATATTTAAGCAGCCGGTGACCAAGATCACCAATCACCCCAGCAACAAGGTGAAAAGTGACCCTCAGAAGGCGGTAGACCAGCCCCGGCAGGTGAGCATGGGACTGGGCGTCTCCTGGCCACTCTTCACAAATAGATTATTCCCCTCTGCAGCCAGATGCTCAATACGGCTGCACAGTTGTCGGCATCTGTGGTAGTGTCTAGGGTGCTACAAGGGTGCCCATGTCCTAGTGTAAATGTGGGACCTGCGCCATCTCCCCCATACTGGAAGGCGTCTCTAGGTTACTTGTGATACCTAATGTAAATGATTATCATATGGTCTTGGGTTTTTTGGTCATTTTTCTATTGATGTACTGTTATTTGAGGACTGTTCCCCCAAAACATTTCATATTTACAGTTGGTTGAATCTCTGGATATAGAACAGAGGACCAACCATACATGGTTTTATAATCTTCTTTTTACAGAAACAGAGCACCATTTATGTTTTTCATAGTTATTTACATATGTTCACTAGATGTTTGGACAAGGGTATGTGGGCCCTGGGCAGGAACTAGGAGCCAAAGGGGAGTCGAGATAGGGGCTGGCATAGCACAGCCCTGGCCATCACCCCTGGAGGCTTACAGTCATGTGTTTGGGGCAGCTCTTCTGGGAGAAGAAGCTGAGTGGCCTGAATGCCTTTGACATCGCTGAGGAGCTGGTCAAGACCATGGATCTCCCCAAGGGCCTACAAGGTAAAGGACACCCTGAGGTGTGGGAGGCCCCTGCCATGGGAGGAATAGTCAAACATGTGCCCTGAGGGCAGTTCTGCCTTGAATAGGGGGAAACTCCCAGGCCAGGCCCTTCTTGCTTGGCCTTGGAAACCTGTGGGGCTTCCAGGTGTGGCTCAGGCACTAGGATGGGGTGGGGAGCTTGGGGGGTGGCAGTTGACCCTTAGGAGGCACAGTTTTCCCATGGATCCTAAGAGGATGAACAAAGACGTTTGATTTTGCTACCACATCCTAAAAACTAGCCCATGATGCATACACCATTTTTTATGTTATAAAAGTAATGATTCAGGCATGAGGAAATTTGTAAACAAAACCCAAGACTAAAGACAGAAGGGAGAAGCCATGTTCTTAGGGCATTTCCCAAAGCCTGGCCCAGCCTCAAGGATGAGGACACCATCTGTGTCACAGCTGTCTCTTGGTGACCCTCCTGCATGGGGCTGTCTCCTGCCTTACCAGGGGTGGGACCTGGTTGCACAGATGAGACCCTATTGTCAGCCATTGCCAGCGCCCTGCACACAAGCACCATGCCCATTACTGGGCAACTTTCAGCTGCTGTGGAGAAGAACCCTGGAGTGTGGCTCAATACAACACAGCCCTTGTGCAAGGCCTTTATGGTGACCGACGAGGACATCAGGTAGGTAGCCAAGCAGCCGTCCCATTTCCTCCCTATCCTTTTGCCCCATCTCTTAGGGTTGTGGGAGAGCATCCCTGAGTATCCCTAAGTACCTGTTCATTTTCCTGCCTGCCCATGACTTACATATTTCTGCTGACTCTGCTGAGGTTTTGAAGCAGAAATAGTCACTGCATGGATGCCACCTGTTGTTAAAGTGTTAGCATGAACAGGCACACCCGAATTTTAGGTTTAGGGCAGGCCAGGTGAGAGCCCCTCAAAGTAATGTTCTTGAAAAAAAAAATGTGTTTTTTTCTGCCTCTATTAACTAGTGTGTGCTGAACTGTGCTCCAGGCTGAACCCTGGGGGGTGTAGGGTAAGTTAGCCCAGACCTCCTGCCTTCAGGAGTATATGACTTTCGAGGTTGCTGCTTAAGGTGGGGGTGACTTCCCTAGCAGAAGTGACAGTGTGGGTAGTGCTCAGAGCAGCAGGGTCTGTGGCTGCCACAGCAATGGAAATAGTTGGGCCTTCGGGAGGTATTTCAGGGGAGAATTAAGGCCCAGTGTATAAGGTGGATGCCATGGCCAGGAGGTAGCCATTGCTGCAACCATCTGCAAAGGCCTCCTGGTAAAGAGATGATCTGAAGTTTCCTCAGACACATGCAGGAAACATCTGGAAGTACCAGGAGAAAACACATCTCTTAGCGTTAAAACTCAAGTGCATGGCTTAAGTCAAAAGAAGTGATGGGAACTGTGTAACGATCCTAAACAGAGGAGGTCATGACACCCGAAACAGTTATAGATGGATGGGCAGGGAGGGGCTCTAGTTGTGTGGGCAGGAGAGCAGAGGCCCTGAACTCCATGCAGGGTAAAGAGATGGAAACGGGATGCTACCACTTCATACAAAGGTGACATGGGCTCCCTCAGATTCCTGTGCTGGTAGCCAGGTGGTATGTATGTCCTTCTCTGATGGGAAGGGAGAGCCCTCCAGACCATAATGATTGTGGGCCCCCTTCATTTGGGCTAAGATCAATTTATACTCTCCACAAGGTCTGGGAACGCCTCTAAAATGAATAATGATATGATTGGCTTGGCGCCTGTAGTTCAGTGGCTAGGTTGCTGGCAACATACACTGGGGATGGTGGGTTTGAACCTGGCCCAAGCCTGCTAAACAACAATAACAACTACAACAAAAAAAATAGCTGGAGGTTGTGGCAGGCGCCTGTCATCCCAACTACTCAGGAGGCTGAGGCAAGAGAATCACTTAAGCTCAGGAGTTTGAGGCTGCTGTGAGCCGTGACGCCAGGGCACTCTACCAAGTTTGACATAGTAAGACACTTGTCTCAAAAAAAAAAGGCTTGGTGCCTGTGGCTCAAGTAGCTAAGGCACCAGCCACATACACCTAAGGTGGCGAGTTCAAATCCAACCTGGGCCGCCAGACAACGATGGCTGCAACCAAAAAATAGCCAGGCATTGTGGTGGATGCCTATGGTCCCAGCTACTTAGGAGGCTGGGGCAGGAGACTCACTTGAGCCCAGGAGTTGGAGGTTGCTGTGAGCTGGGATGCCAAGGCACTCTACCCAAGGGGATAGCTTGAGGCTCTGTCTCAAGAAAAAAAAAATGATATAATTAAAAGAATTGAAAACAGAAGAAAAGATCAAGACTGTCAGGAGACACTAGACAGATACTTAAAAACTTTGTAGGCTTGGCGCCTGTAGCTTAAGAGGCTAAGGTGCCAGCCACATATACCTGAGCTGGTGGGTCGGAATCCAGCCTGGGGCTGCCAAACAACAATGACAACTACAACTAAAAAGTAGCCAGGTATTGTGGCAGGTTCTGTAGTCCCAGCTACTTGGGAGGCTGAGGCAAGAGAATCACTTTAAGCCCAGGAGTTGGGAGGTTACTGTGAGTTGTGATGCCACAGCATTCTACCCAGGGTGACAGCTTAAGGCTCTGTCTCAAAAAAAAAAAAAAAAAGCTTTGTAGATCAGGCTGGGCATGGTGGCTCACACCTGTAATCCTAGCACTCTGGGAGGCTAAGGTAGGTGAATTGCTTGAGTTCACTAGTTTGAGACCAGCCTGAGCAAAAGTGAGACCCCATCACTACTAAACTAGAAAAAACTGAGGCAAGAGGATCACTTGAGCCCAAGAGTTGGAGGTTGCTGTGAGCTATGAACAATGCCATGGCATTCTAACCAGGGCAACAGCTTGAGACTTCTGTCTGAAAAAAAAAAAAATCTTTGTAGATCATTTACCATGTTTCCCCAAAAATAAGACCTACCCAAAAAATAAGCCCTAGCAGGATTTCTATGCATTTGTTAAATATAAGCCCTACCCCAATAATAAGACCTAGTGACGGGCATGGCTAGGCAGCATGTCTGCATAGTCACGCCATGCATTTTGGAAGACTGGAATACCTTTTATGTGCCACAGCTCCTCCTTTTTTTTTTTTTTTTTTTTTAGTTTTTGGCTGGGGCTGGGTTTGAACCAGCCACCTCTGGCATATGGGACCAGCGCCCTACCCTTTTGAGCCATAGGCGCCACCCATTCTACAGCTCCTTTCTCGGAGCCATTCGCACTTGTGCAGGTGCACATGTGGTAACTGCAGTCACAGGCATCCTGTTGCGCACGTGCGAACAGCTAGGGAAAAGGAGTTCATGCACCAGTCCCACCAACAAGGTAGGCTCCCCTTGTCAGGTTCCAGAAGAAGATAACTTAGCTATATTTGAATAAATGCAGATTATTATATTATACTTAATAAAAATAAGACATCCCCTGAAAATAAGCCCTAGTGTGTCTTCTTGAGAAAAAATAAATATAAGACAGTGTCTTATTTTTGGGGAAACAGGGTACAAATAGTAGAAGTTATTGAAGTTAGGAACTTAGTTGTGGGTTGGGCATGGTAGCTCACACCTGTAATCCTAGCATTCTGAGAGGCCAAGGTGGGTAGATTGCTTTAGCTCAGGAGTTTGAGACTAGCCTGAGCAAGAGCAGAGCCCTATCTCTAAAAAAAAAACCAGAAAGACTAGCCAGACATCATGGTGGGTCTCGGTAGTCCCAGCCATTTAGGAGGCTGAGACAAGGCTCTGCACCTGTAGTTCAGTGGTTAGGGCGCCAGCCACATACACCAGGGCTGGCAGGTTCAAACCCAGCGAGGACCTGCTAAACAATAATGACAAAAACGATTTAAAAAAAAAAATAGTAGGTGTTGTGGTGGGCACCTGTAGTCCCAGCTACTTGGGAGGCTGCAGCAAGAGAATTGCTTAAGCCCAAAAGTTTGAGGTTGCTGTGAGCTATGATGCCATAGCATTCTTACCAGGATGACAGAATGAGATTCTGTCTCAAAAACAAAAAACTTAGTTGTGGGGTAAGCAGATTTTAGGAGCCAGACACTGGGGCAAGTTAACCAGAATGTGCCTCAGGTGGTGGAGAAGGAGCAACACAGGGTAAGTGGGAGCTTCCTGACAGAGATTGGAAAGACAAGGGCGGGTCTTAAAGCACCTGAGGGGTAAGCCAGCTGGCTTCCCGCCATAGGACAATGAATGGAAGCATATTGCCCAGAGCTCTGTCCTACAGGAGCCCATTGTTCAGGAGTTAGGACTCTGATCAGAGGAGGTGGATTGAACACACAGGTGTGCTTTTTCCTTTCCAAACCCACTAAGCCAGGAGTGGGAAACCTGTGGCCTTTTAGGTCCTTGAGTGCAGCCTTTTGACTGAATCCACATTATACAGAACAAATCTATTAAATAAGCAATAGTAAAAGAGAGCACATCCCTACACAGCAAGATGGGAGACCAAAGCAGACAGTTGATTAAGGCCTAGAGCAGTGGTTCTCAACCTTCCTAATGCCACGACCCTTTAATATAGTTTCTCATGTTGTGGTGACCCTGCAGCTCAAGTGGCTAAGGCACCAACCACATATACCAGAGATGGCGGGTTCTAATCCAGCCTGGGCCTGCCAAACCACGACAGCTACAGAGCAGCGCCTGTGGCTCAGTGAGTAGAATGTCAGCCCCATATACTGAGAGTGGCGAGTTCAAACCCAGCCCCTGCCAAACTGCAACAAAAAATAGCCAGGCTTTGTGTCAGGCACCTGTAGTCCCAGCTACTCGGGAGGCTGAGGCAAGAGAAATCGCCTAAGCCCAAGAGCTTGAGGTTGGTGTGAGCTGTGACACCACGGCACT